AGATAGGAATGTGATTCTAGTGCTGCTATTTTATTTTAGTTTTTTCTGTTGTGTCCGAGGGAACACCTTGTAACAGCAATATACTGTTTCGGCAGCTTTCCATTGTGGACATTTTTTCATTTGTGTTTCATTTTCCCTTTTGAATTGTCAAACACCTTGTTTCGCAAGCCTTTCCTGCTAAATTATAATTGGATAATCAAGTATTTTTGGCTCTGTAGCAGTTATCCCCTCCTTATGTAGTATAGTTTCCCATGTAGCATTTTCCTTCTGCCATTTTGCTTAGAAGTTCAGGTTTCAGTAAAGTAGATTTGCCTTTTTTGTTGTTTTTTAATTAGAAATGTCCCATTCAAGTTTTCTGGTGAAGTTCAAAGGTTTTCAGTAAATCAGTGTGAGTACCAGTATCCTAAATTTAACAGCATTTGTCTGTAGTTTCTTCTGGAAATCCATGGTTTTTCTTGCTAAGCTCCTCACAAAAATAGATATCCTAGGCACAGTAGCCATGAGTGATTGCTGTACCTCCTGTCTTCACTGCGAAGGGTACCTTCTGCTTCTCTTTTGAAGGAGAAGATGTGAAAAGTTAGACCTTCTACCAGCATAATAGTTGGATGTATATGCTGATCTGCTGGTATAATTTTGCAAGGAAAAAGATAACAGTCATGCCAAACAGAGACTCATAGTAGTTGTTATTATGACAAAAAAATATATATACAGCAGTTCGCTTTTCATGAAAATTAATGGAATATGCTGTCATATGTTTTCTTGATATCAATTATGTCTTCTTTAGTACTCATGCTATATTTGCCTCTCCTTCTGTTGTAGATAAGTCATTAATGTTTTGTGCCAGTGGCAGTCATTCTCTAAACCTTTAGTAATAAAGGACTTTACATCATCAGCAGTATGCGGATATGTCCATGTGATAGGGGTGAAATTAATTATTTTTTCTAAATTGAGTCAATACTCAACAAATGTCATCTGCAGGTAAAACAGACTTTAGCTCAGTGATGTGGTATTAGCTTTCGGTACTCTCGGCATGCACGTACTCACGAACACTTCTCTAGCTGGGAATCATAAAATCTCCTACTAAGCCGTTTGGATAATAAGAACCATAAAAAGCCAAGTGTTGTTCATGATTGCTCTTTGGGTGAGGCTGCAAACACAGAAGGATATTGCACCAGAAGTCGGAGGGGTTAAAGTATGTGTGTAAAGGGCCAGTCAAAGGTAAAGAGCCTTGATCCATGACCAGTTCACGTTCGGAGATCAGCCTGGAGCTGTTCCTTGCGTGCCAGCAAAGATAGTGTAGTTTCATAGCAGACTGTGTCATGATTTTTCAGAATGCTTTGTGGGGCTTTTTTGGGGGTGCTTTTGGGTTTTTTTTTGTTGGCCTTGTCTGAAGTGTTTAAATAGCAGTTACGCACAGTGACAACTCTTACTTCAAGTACCAGGGCTTCTCATAAATTAGCACACATTAGTTATATTTATATAGTTGTATTTTATTGAAATTGGTGTGCTTTGAAGCATGATATTAGATAAAAGAAGATCACAGAATAATTGAGCTTGGGAGGGATCTCTGGAGGTCATTTGTCCACCTCACCTGCTCAAGGAGGGCCACCTAAAGCAGGTTACCCAGAACTATGTTCAGGTGGCTTTTGTGTACCTCCACGGAGGAGACTACAGCTTGGCTCTGGGCAAACTGTGCCAGTGCTCAGGCACCCTCACAGGGAACAAGTGGTTCCTGATGTTCACGTGGAACCTCCTGTGATTTTGCTTGTGCTCGTTGCCTGTTGTCCTGTCTCTGGGCACCACTGAAGAGAGCTCCATCCTCTGGCTCCACCCTCTCTGCATTCTTCCCGCAGGTATTTATACACACTGATAAGGTCTGCCCTGAGCTTTCTTTTCTCCAGGCTAAACAGCCCCAGCTCTCTCAGCCTTTTCTGGTAGGAGAGATGCTCTAGGCCCTTAATCACCTTAGTGGCCCTTTGCTGGACTCCCTCCAGCTACTGCTCCACGTCTCTCCTGTACTGGGGAGCCCAAAACTGGGCCCAGCCCTCCAGGTGTGTCTCACCGGTGCTGAGCAGAGGGAAGGGGTCACCTCCCTCGACCTGCTGGCAACGCTTCTCCTAGCGCAGCCCAGGACACCGTTGACCTTTTTGTGCTGCAAGGGCTCATTGCTGGCTCATGTTCAACTTGGTGTCTACCTGAAACCCAGGGTCCTTTTCTGCAAATTCACTTTCTGGCATTAAAAGAAACCAGTCATGCTAAGTAGTTTTACCAAAGCTGAGAAGGTCAGTTTCTTGTATGCTTCAGTTATAATTCACTTGTAGATCTACTTTTCTTGATGGTAGTAGCTTTATAGTACTAAAAAAGCTTTAATAGTACTAAAAAAACTGCAATTGCGTTTTAATTGTCTTAACAAACATTTCTGAGATCACTGTTGTTATTTTTCAGACCCATGTTAAAGTAGAAAAGTGCAAGATGCAATACAAATAAAAGAATGTTAACGCTTAATATGAATCTAGGAAAGAGTAGATTTGCATACTGTTGAAACTGGGTTAAAATAAATATAATTCAGGACAGGTGCTTTTTATTTCCTCCTTCAATGTTTCTTTCCCTTTTTCTCTGGGAAAAATATTTTGGCAGAACCTTATTAACCTTCATTCTCATTTGGACAACTAATGGAAGAAAGGACAAATGTTTTAATACTATTTGGTGTCTTTAATTGTCTTGATATTACACACAAGAAATACCCCAAATTATCAAAATAAGTTATTTTTTACAGAAAAAGCCATAGCAATGAAATTAAAATTGTTTTCCTTCCCCAGCCATCAAAAGTAGGAGTCCTCTTGAGTTGCTGAGCTGAGGATCCCAGCCTGTTGAGGTCCAAGGGCTTAAAAAACAGTTTGGTCATCCAGGTCAGAAAGTCGCTTTGGGCCCAAGAGCATTACAAAGATCTAAACAGACAGCTTATGGAGGGAGGAGAGAGCCTTTGAAACCTGTGGTCAGATTTTAATGTTTGATGCTCTTAAAGTTGATGGCAGACAAGGGCTGCAAGTCTTGTATCTTTCCTGTTCACTTATGGTTTGTAGCTCTTTATTTCTGCCCTCTAATGCTTTCTCAGGATGCTTAGTTCATCCCACTCCAGCTTTTGATTTTGATATCAGAATCATCTTCATTTGCTAATATTTTTAGAATGAAACTTTGCACAATATGCTATGCTATTTTAGAATTACTTCAAGTTTAATAGGTATACCATTCAGATACATGCTGTACTCTTCAGTAGCTCTTAACTACTAGGGGAAAATAACACTGCAGATAACCTCTTTTTTAAAAAAAATAATTTTTTTTTTTGATTCATCACAATGTATAACTTGCTGTAATTGCATAAGAATACCGTACTCCCATCTCCTTACCTGAGGCACTTGGCTGTTAGAGAGAAGTCCTATTTCCTTAGCTGTTGGGAATTCGTTTTGAATTCCAGTGTGGTTGTCCCCAGTCTGCAGTGGTGCTTGGCACTGACTCCTGGGAAGCAGCATGCTCCTGTGGACAGAATCCCATTTGGCTTTTCCTGTAAATCTTACTCTGCCTCAAGACTTTCCATTGACCACAGCCAAAATCAGGGGGTCTTGGGAAAGGTTGGACGGGATGAAATAGGTGTGGGTCTGCTGTTGTGATGCTGCTCTTCTCGCTGCATTTCCCATGCATGTGGTAGCTCTAGTAAAAGGTTTCATAAAAGCGATGCCCAACAAATTGCCCTATTTGGTTGGTTTCCTTCTTGTTTAGTTATTCATGATAGGGCTGCTAAATGTGGAATAGTAGGCAAAAACGTTAGGCTGTAGGGGTCAGGAAGCGCTGGTGCCTTGTCTGCCTTTTTTTCCCACAGCTAAGCTGCACTGACGGTTTAATGATTTGTTCCGAAATTCCCCAAAGTAAATGGGGCTCTAACGCTTGGAGGTACAAGACATCTGGGTAGTTTCAGTAGCTCCAATACTATGGAAGGCAGATGCTGTTTTCTTTGCAGGATATTCGGGGAATGGAAATCACTCTCAGTCCTGCTGCTTTGTGGCTCGTTGCAAACCAACTTATATAGCTGTTAAAAATATCTATACTTGCCAATCGTTAATTCCTTTAAAAACTAAAATATTTTTAAAAGCAACCACCAGGAACAACAAAAATGCAGAACTAAGTAGTCTTTTCATGGCCTTTGGCATTGTTGCAAGTACAGTAACAAGTTCGTCTTCGTAATTTACAGGTGGTTGCCTAGAAAACTGTTTTGTTTCAATTTAAGGAGTTATTAAATATTACCTCTTTGGGAATTTTATTTTGGCTCTTGCACTAATGCAGTTTATTTGACTGTAGTTTCTAAAATGTTTGAAAGGAGAGATATTGTTAAAACAGTTCAGGAAATACGGAAGCAAACCATAAGATTGTTAACTAAGCCAAACTGGGCACTTTGCTATAGAGAAGAGGGGGAAAAAACCCAACACAGGCAGAAAAGTTGGCAGGTGGAAGTAACTAAGCCACTGAGGTACAATATATATCCCTCATCCTTGTTTCCTCTACCAATTCTTGAAAAGAAAATGAACATGCAGTTTAAATTTTCATTTAAAAGTAAAAAAAAAATAAAAAATATGTTGTAGTTCATGTTTCCTCATGCAGCTGAAGTGAAGTTCTGTGATGTCTTTGAATGATGCTTAACTGAATTGCAGCAGTTTTTTGGCATAGTAAAAAACACTTTAATACTCAAATTTACTACCAAATTCATAGAACAAATCACTTTAAAGCTGAATTTGTGATTCACTTGAATAGAGAATAGCAGAGAGTGTGTAGGTTTAACTGATTGGTGCATCCTATCTCTTACTGTTCCAGAGGAAAGTCCCAGTGTCCTCAGTTTCTGTCAGAAAAGGCTCTTCACCTGAGAGAGACGAGACAAAAGACCACCTGTGTCTGAGGTGGACACCTGCAATCTGAACTCCCCTCTGAGTGGAATATGGTGATAGAGACTGATGAGTGATTTAACTTCCAGTAATATTACTGAGCATCAGGAGACAGCCATGTTTATTGGCAGATATTAGAACTGATAGATGCATACAATGAAGGATTGGCTTTTTCTTGATTATATTTGTCTGCTGTGTGGGAGAAGTTACTAAAAGATGGTACAGAAATGGTGAGAAACATTGACTGAACTGTCATTTTAACTCTGAGGTTTAGGGGGCGGAGGAGGCTGTTTTTTGCTTGGAGGGGGCAAACAGTATCTATAAACAAATTCGCTTGCCTATAAGCTAAAATTGGATAGTCTTGTTTTATTTCCCATTTTCCAAACTGTTATGCATTTAGGCTTTAGTTGCTTGCAGCAAAATTCTTATATATATATATATATATAAGTGAATCATATGTGTGAATCATATGTGTGTGTGAGAGCGTAATATATTAATTACGCAAAAAAGCCTACCTTCAGTTATTTTGGGATGTTTGGAGCAAGGGGAAGAAAGCAGCGAATGTTTTAAAATACAACAGTTTGGTGAATGGTTATATCACAAACAGTTTTGTACAGAAGGAGCAACTTTGTCCTCTTCTAATATTTCCTGTTCAGTCCTTAAATCTTAAATTGCTAATGCTAACTGCCATGAGTACTTAAACCCTCCATCAGAAATATGTTGTGAAGGGTACCATGAAGGTTATTTCTTTCAAAGTTTTGGACTGTTCATTCATGGGCTATTACATTCATGCAGCTGTTACATACATTCAACTGATGTAGCAGCAAATTCGTAACCAAAACTGTCGTTTAATTCAGAAGAAAATGAACAAAAGCTGAGAGAGAGATGACCAAAACCTCTTTTTCTGAGACTCTGAAAAAGGAATTGGGCTTTTAAGTAATGAAGTGATAACCATTTGTTTATTTTAGAAAATTACTAAATGATAGCAAGAGCTGTTAAATTGTAAAATGCAAGTAATTTTCCACACACTGTGAAGACAGGAGAGAACCAGCTAGTAGACACTGCAAATATTAGGTTTTAAGTAGCTGTAACTGGTTCTGTTGTTGAACCCCGCAGCGTGTGTGTCCTGACCTGCCCTTGCAAAGGACGGGTTATGTGCATGGGGAGGAGGGAGGGACGAAGGGAAACGGGGTTTCTGGCTAGAAGTTTGTTCTTGTTTAGATTTCAGTGGCAGAAGGCCTGACCTCTTTCTGCTTTCTTGTTCTCTTTTCTGTGCAATTTCATGGTGGCTGACTGGCTTCATGATTAGTCTAAAATAAATCGGGAGTTGATTCTTATTCTCTTCCCATCCCTGGCCCTCTCTGGCTAGATCACTGATTGTTAAGTTTTTAGAAGAATATCAGTTCTGACACTGAGGAACTATATTCTTTACAAGGAATTGTGTGTAAGGTCCAAGAAGTCCTAATGAAGGCATAGAAGTACAGAGGAGCGTTTTTTAGAGAGGCTTCTTATACTCGTTTCTTCTAGGTGACTGTTATGAAAGGACTGAACCTCAGTAGTGTTAATTACCGTGATCTTGGTTGTGGGTTTGTTGTTTTGTTTTGTCTTTTAACTAGACTTAGCTGGTTTGCGTTTATGGAAAACTAATTTCTTCTTTTGCATCTCTTCCAGTAATAGTTATGCACGAGTGCGAGCTGTGGTGATGACCCGGGATGACTCAAGTGGTGGATGGTTACCACTTGGAGGGGGTGGACTGAGCTGTGTCACAGTCTTCAAAGTCATTCCCCAGGAAGAGAATAGCTGTGCTGATTTTCTTATCCATGGAGAACGACTCAGGGATAAAACGGTAACGATTTACATCCATTTAATGTTCCTGTTAAAACTACATAGAACCTAAGAAGAGGTGTTTGCTTATTGTTGCTCGTAGACTAGAGAGTAAATTTATAGTTTCTGTCCAATATTATTGCTGATTTTTTATGCATACCAATGATTATACACCCTAATAGCTAATTACTTATTTTAGGAGTAACACCATGCATTTCTGGAATTAAGCATGTTGAACTTTTAGAAACTTTAAAACTTTTTTTTTGTTTAATAGCAGATTGCCATCCATTTTGGGAAATATTTTGCTGTTCAGGGCTTTTTACAGCCCAGGGAGGGTTAAAGCTAAATCTTGTTAACCTGTTTAGACACTGAAGATACTGTGTTTTAATTAAAGTGTTGGACAATAAGATAGCTTGAGACACAAAAGACACAAAGTCTGAAGGAATTCCTGAGTAACAATTCAGTTAGTTGTGGAATTTGGCTATGATAAAAAGTAGCCATTTTACATGAAAACAACTTTTGGATTGGAAGAAAGCATGAAGCTGACAGGTCCAAGAATTGATCTGATTTGATTGAAGACATAGGCAGTGTTCATTTATCAGCTACATTAAATAATATACCAGTAATAAATTTGTCTTAAATAGCATCACAAAAATGAGCACCATGAAAGCAATACCAGTGTGGGATCTCAGCCGTTTCTACATGCAGACCTCTGGAAGGCAAAATTGGTTTACTAAGGCTTGCTTGGTTACTTGTGTCCCCAGTCGATTTCTGAAGAGAGGGGTCTCCTACTGTGGAAGCAAAGATAAGTGGGAAAAGCACAAAATCTCCATCTTAATGACTTATCAAGAACTTATTCTTTTCTGCCAATAATTCATTACTTCTATGTAAGCTTAAAAGGTAGAATTGCTTCTTATACCGTACTGCTGATTCTTTCTCAAGCCTACCAGTTTCTCCCTTGAGGCAGGACTGCTGAGTTTTCTGCCTTGACTGTGACTGTTGTAGGAAGAGAGCATATAAATAGAAATTCTGCTGACTCAGTGGTTTCAGCGAGGCGTAGTGCTATTAGCAGAGTACCCTGTGTTCCTGCACAGCTATGTGCACCTGCAGTTTCTTCCTCACTTTGCAGTAGTTCCCTTTAGAACTTTTTTTAGCCTTATTGAGGCTGTTTTTGAGGGGCTTAATTGCGTTTAGAAATACTTGACAATTTTCTCTTAATTCTTAAAACTTTCGACATTCACAGCTTGCCTTTGGAATCTGAGGATAATAAAATGCTCAGAACCGAAGGCTGGTTTAATGTTTCTCCCACATGCATAAGAAAATGTCGCAGCCATCAGCATCCTGATCCCGTTTGCGCGCTCTCTCCTGCTTACTCTGGCCAAGCCTTGTTTCATTTCCCCTTCTGGTAGAAGGTCTCTACTCCTCTTCCTGTCCAAAATTGAGCTCACATTAATATGAATGTTTTCCAAACCTTTATTGTCCTGAACAGTTCATTTTCATTTGGTTTGGTTTTGGGTTTTTTTCCCCTTTGTTTGTCTGTGCATGTCTGTCTCTTCCTGTGTCTGTCTGTCCCCACCCTTCTGCCCCCAAATGTGACCCTACTAGTCTGTCAGGGCAAGTTTTGATTTTACTGCAGTTTTAGGAAGTTGCCGCTGGAAGTCAGCCCCTAAAAAACACAGGAAAAAAGAAGGACGAAATGCAGCTAGGAAGAAGATTTGTCCAGTGTATATTAAATAAAGGTCAGCGAACTAACATACAGAAGTAGCCTGTGGGAAAGAATACTGTAAAACCATTGATGCTTTGATAACGGAGTAGAAGGAAGCTCTGTGTGCACGTATTTCCTCAGGCTTCAGATAATGCACTTATAAGCAACAGCTAATGTGTAATGAATTAACAACAGAGTTGCACAGTATGCAACAAGAGCCCTGTTGGTCTGAGAGCAACAAGATCCTACACAGAGATGTGCAAGGGCATCAGTAGGTCCTGACGCTTTTGGAAGTACTGTGCCAGGGACTGGAAGAGAAATTCTGTTGGACAGGGACCTGAGCACTGATTCTAAAACTGTTCTGGTCCTTATGCTTTCCATATAGTTAATGTTCGTAGGATATTCCTGTGGATTTACTGTTAAAGCACCATTTTTTACCTTTTCCTTACTGAAGCCAAATGATTGGGTTTTTAGTCCAAATAGAATTGACAGGCAACTAGTATATTTCATAATACAGAGGCCAAGAAAAAACAACACTAAGAAGTGGAAATATAATTGTCTGTTCCAGCTGAAAGAGTATATTTCATAATACAGAGGCCAAGAAAAAAAAACACTAAGAAGTGGAAATGTAATTGTCTGTTCCAGCTGAAAGAGTGGAGAAGGCTGTGTTCTCAGAGAGGCAACCCTGAAAAGGACTGTTGAAGATTACTTCAGTGACATAAAATGCTAATTTTTTTCCTTTAAAAATAAAGTAAAAGTGGAATTTGTTAGGGGTTCATTGTGTTTGCTGTTGAGTAGGGTCTAAATATTTTCATCATATTCTGATTTTGAGTAAGCTATACTAAATCTGCTCTTCCTGCACTCTAATGGCTTCAAGTTGTTCCAAGGGAGGTTTGGATTGGACATCAAGAAATATTTCTTCACTGAAAGAGTTGTCAGGTACTGGAACAGGCTGCCCAGGGAAGTGGTGGAGTCACCATCCCTGGAGGTATTTAAAAGACATGTAGATATGGTTCCTAGGGACATGATTTAGTGGTGGGCTTGCCAGTTCTGGTTGACAGTTGGATTTGATCTTAAAGGTCTTTCCAGCCTAAATGTTTCTATGATATGATTCCCTGATCCTGTTCTCATCTCACTTAAGAATGGCCTCAGTGTGTAAATCTGTCTAATCTTTGAAGTTAGTCAGACACTGTTAGTTGCTCTGCTATTGTATTTGCAAAGAGAAAGTACCAATATTGTTTTTAAAAAAGCTTCCTAAATAATTTTGACATTTCAGTTACTCAGACTTTGTGAGCACATGTATCTCCAGAAGTGTTTAATCTGTTGTAGTGTCTAGGAGTCATTTCAGCTCTGTCAGGTGGACCACGATTTCCAGTTCACTTGACTTTTTGCAAGGTACGCACACAGCCATTTCTGAAAATACTTCTGCGGATTAAAAAAGGAAGTAGTCCTTAGAAATGGAGTTTTATTCCCTGCCCCCTCAAGTCACATTACACACTGTTAAAATGTATTTATAATTTTTAGTTCCTCTGTCCAGTAAATCTTTCTTTTGTCAACTGGCTAAGATTGCAGAAAAGGTGCAGAAATTCCCTTATTCTGGAAAACATCTGGTGTGGAGCTTGGAGCACTTTTCTGGAACACAGGGATGCACGGGGTTTGAAATACCTCAGGTCAGAGAGCAAATAGAATTCAGTTCTATGACTTTTACTTAAGATATATGGGAATCACAATGCCAGTATTACTGGTGAACCTGTGTGTCAGTAGAAAGGTGGAATTCATTCCAAAGAGGCTAGAAATCCATGGGTGAAGTATTTGATGGAGGTATCCATCCAGATTCCTCTTAAGTGATTATATTGAAAAAGAATGAGACATCTTCTGTCTCTTACTGTTTCTTGTAAATTAGCCTTAGTTGCTGCTTCTCCAAGTACTATTTCTGACACTATATTTCAGTTTCATTCCATTGTCCCAGGTATCTCCGTATATTCTAAAGGATAGCGGGTGTTTAATTAGAAATACAGATCTGTCTGTAGATCAGCTGTATAAACTAAATACTCTGGTTCTGAACATCAGAATAATGAAGTTCCTTGTTGTGGCCACGAGGTGTTTCTCACTGTGTCAATATACCTGAGAGTTAGGTTGCTATCAGCCCTTTCATGAACCAGTTTCAGCCTATGTGTAGAACTTCCAAAATTTTTGTGCAGTACTCAGCTGTTTAAAACGTATTATGAGGTTCATAAAAAGCATCCTAGTTGTCTGACGAGAAAATCAAACTGGAGGCACCATTGCATTCATTTAGGGAAGAGGGAATGCTCCCTATTAGTTTGCTCAGGTTGTTTAGATCCACATTGGAATGTAAGGGTATTTCGTGAAGACTTGGACGTAATTACACATTTCCTCCTTTATTATAGTCACCTCCATAGATCTGGCTCCGGCCAGTCTGGTTGGAACAATTGCACTCCCTCCCAACCTGGTCAGGTTTGCTGCTCTCTTTTACTGTGTTTACAGTGGCTCTCGTCTATCTTAATAGCACCAGCGTTAAACATACATTAGGCTCAAGCTTACAGGTTTTTAGGCTTTGGTGAGTTTTCCATTCTTGAATGAACAGTCTATTAGATTTCTCTGTTCTGTTTTCTTCTCCAGTCCTTTTCCATGCAAGATTTTACTGAAGGAGGAAGAAAGGGATTTTTTTTATTTGTTTCTGAAACAAACTCTAGATAATGATGCTAATACATCTAGTACTCATTTCTGTTTAAAAATATTTGGGTTTGAAGTGTTGAAATTTAAAATTTTCTGTCTTCGGAGGTGCAGCTATCTACAAAAGCCAAGTGGTTTCTAGTGTCTTTACAGAATGTAGCTAGTAGAGGTGAGAAGAGAAATATGTAGCAAGCATTTTTTGAGTAGCTATGAACTTAGTGTTGCACTTAATGACATCTAGATATTAAATGTTTGAATTATTTTTTTTTAATAAATGCTAGTATAAAGCCCTATTTATGCTCTGAGAATTTAGATGTTGTTTGTGTGCGTCTGGAGCTCTTCTGTCTTGAATCTGGTAACAGCAGCATTTCCCATGATGTGCTAAGGTGGCTGCTTCATATTGGCCTGGAAGTCTTATGTTGTTTCCAAATGAAAAAACCTTCAGAACAGTAACCTGTGTTTATTTAAAAAATCAATTTTATTAAACCATAGTAATTTAATCTACAGTTTCACGTGTTTCTGTGTTTATTCCTGGAGTTCTTAAGGAGGGTCTACCTGACAAGGTTCAGGCAGGGAGATTTTTTGGTAACCATGTGGGAAAGCATGATATCATCTTTGCATGTGATGTGGAGAGTTCCAAACCATGGCGAAGTACAGTAAAAAAATAACTGGAGTTTTGGATTTTTGAAGACTCGACAAAAGATATGTGTTACTAAAAGCCTGGCTTTCATTTCTTTGCTGTTGGGGTACTTTCTCCCCAGCCCTAAAGACAGTGTGCATGCTTCAGCGTAAAGAAACTTTTGATGGTGTTATATTTAACAGGGAAAAAATACTTTGTTCCTATAAAGTGTGGAGAATTTTAGGGGATGGCTGGTATGTTTTTTGTTTGGTTTGGAGTTTAGTATTTCTGGATGCAACAAAAATTATTGAGGGCTGAGTGTTTATAGATTTGTGTCCTGCTGCCAGTTTAGACCTACAGTTTGGAGTTTTCTCTGGGGCAGGGCAGGCATCAGCTCTCTCCTACGTGAATTCTTATGTCAGATAACACAATTTTGATGCAACTAATTTTTCCTATTTCAGTGCCCTTAACCACTTATCTACCGTGTTAACTGGTCTGTTTTCATACAGCTTTGGATTGAAAAAATCGGTGTCATCCTGTCAAATTTGTTGTTTCCTTAAATCAAGCTGGAAACAGTTATGGCTTTGGATAGGGTGCTTGCTTGCTTTGTTGGTGATTGCTTGTGTTATAAAAATTTTGTGAGGGTTGGAGAGGGGGAGTGGGTAGTAGCAGTGTTGACTTTTGGGTTGAGGGGTTAGTTTGGTGGTTTTCTGGATTGCTTTGGAGGTCTTTTGAAAATCATAGCTTCTACTCAGTTAAGTTTTAATCCAGTAGTTTATCTCCAGTGGTACTATCTTTCAAAAATATTTGTCATCCAGGTGTGAATTTTGAGTGTAAAGTAATCTGGATTAACTCTTTTGGAAGCAAGTGTTCATTGAGATGCTGTAAAATGAGTCTTGTGGTATTTTTTGTTGATATTTTTGGTGAAATTGCACACAAAATACAGTGTGAAAGTAGTTGGTGTTTAATATAGTAAAGATCTCACCCAAACTGCTCACAGACCTCGAAAATGCAGTGATGTGACAAATCTTCATTTTTACTTCCTCTTTTTAGGAAGAAGCAAGTTTCAAATCTTCAAAAGGAACAAAGAACAATCATTTAATATGCTCTAGAACTAGAATGATGCTTTTTTGTGTGTATGTGCTCTAGCACTGTTTCCTGCACATCTACAGCAAATAGATTCCTTCTTTTTCTTTCTTGTAGGAATTTGTACCTATATATTGTTGGCCGTTTAGGGAATTCAGAGTGCAGTAGGAAAAATTAATTTAATGCTGTAAGAGTTTATATATGCAGAAAGAATGTCATCCTTCTAGACACAGAGCTGAAAGACAGTAAGACTCGGGAGGAGATGATTAGTGGTGGGGCGTAGGGTAGGGGGAATAAATAATGAAGAGCAAGAGAAAAACCCCTATTTGCCTATGTAAAAATTAGACAAGGAAAGGAAGAACAAAAAGGTATGTAAGAATAAGTACAGACAGATATTTTATTTTTTAATTTGTACTTTTTTTTCTCAGTCATGTTTATAATTAACCTCAGTTTTCCACATCCTGGAAGAAATTTTGTCCTTTTCTCTAAAAAAGCTGCATATGTAAATTCTGAAAATACATCAATGTCAAAATGCTAGAGTATTAAAATTCCTCATTCACCTCTCAGTCTAGGTTTTCAGAATCCAGTAGTAATGCAGAGATACAGGTTGTTTGGCCATGCATTTTATTCTATGTAACGCTACAGGAGCAGTTCAGTGCATGTGCCTACGTACTTTCGTGTTCACCTTGGATTGCTTTAGTCAAGAAACATTCAGTGTTATGATGTGGCTTAAAACCCAGCCACTTTAAAGTGGGGAAATGATGTGAAGGCTGAGACTTTGCTTTGTAACTAAATGTGTATGTATACCTGTAATGGTTTTGTAGCCAAATAATTCTTTTAATGATTCCTAATTACTGTTTTCAGTATAGTTGAACATGAGCCATAAATGTATTTGTGTCTAGGTACATGCAGTAATGCCTTGAAAAAGATTTTGGTTTTGATTAATGTCAGTTTTTATAACAATTCTATGTTATTTTCTCTCATTTAGTAGCCTTTCTGGGAAAAAACTGGTACAGCCTGAAAGCAGCATAAAGTTAGTCCAGTTTGATAGAATAAGTACATCAGCAGAGTAATGTTTTTTCAGGGTGTGGCCTGTTTAATTTGCTAATCTAGCAAGCCTGTCCTGACACAAGTGCTCGCTGCCAGTTTGAGATACTTCTGAGAATGGGAAAATGCACTTGGTATAGAAGTAGCATCCTTAACCTATCCCACCTATCAGCAACTGTTAGTGAATAATTTGGCCATAATGGAAACAAAGTTAAAATTACATCCTTGTAACATGGAGAAATTTAAACAGAGACTTCTGTCTCCTGTTATGATGTATGTTCACAAAGACTACGTTTTGTTCTCAAATTTGCTATGTTAGTTGGTGATATCTTTTCCTCCTGTCTTCTTGGAAGGTGGTCTTGGAATGCACATTAAAGAAGGACCTCGTTTACAACAAAGTTACTCCTACTTTTTACCACTGGAAGATTGATGACAAAAAGTTTGGCCTCACGTTTCAGAGTCCTGCTGATGCAAGAGCGTTTGACCGAGGTATTCGGAGAGCAGTAGAGGATATTTCTCAAGGTACGTATTTCGTGTGAATGGGTTGGCAGGGGGTGAGGTGTTGAGCATTTGGTAAATATGTCAAAGCACTTTGTATAACGTGCTGACAGTGTTTAAGGATGTGGATTGATCTATAGCATATTCAGATTTTTAACAGTTCTTTAGTAGTATTTCTGGCATTTCTAAAGTGCCATTCATCCAAGTGTCCTGAATTGTTTCACAGTTGCTAATAAGGTAATTCCCCAAAATATCCCTTCATAATAAAGCTTTGCCTCTTTTTGTCAGAGATGGAGAAATGGAGGAAGCTAGAGTGTTTTACTGTCTTATCCTCTCAGAAGCTTGTTCCAGCTTCTGTGTTCTCAGAGGATAAGCTATGAAATAGAATATTTTGAGACCTCTCAAGTTCTCTTTTTGTCTGCACATACTTTCAAATAATAGTTTTGTGTTTACTAACAACTGACAGAGTAGTTCTGAGAACGGGTGTATATGAGATGGTAGAAGAATTTACTCTAATAGTAATATGGCTAACAGGTTCCAGAGCTTCACTGACCTCACAGAAACTAGTGAGCAAGCTGAAGAAGACCATCAAGCCTTGATTCGGAGCTGAAAACGTGATAAATGTATTGCTGGAGGGAGGGAAGAGAACATGTGTCTATTGAATGGAAAGAATGTCTCTTTCAAGCTTGTAAAAAGTAACTCAAAGGGAGAAATTTAAAAAACATTCTGTGCTGTAAGTTTCAGGATTTAATGTGCGCTATTGTATTAGTAAGAGGAAAAACATGTTTCTGAAGGAAAATGCTTTTTGATATATTAGAATGACCAGTTTTGAATTGTTCTGATACTATCCATATCCCTGCAAGAGAAATAATGAGAGAACATACGAATCCTCTTCTTTCTTAAGGTCTCTCAGTTAACAATTTCTGATTTATACTGTTTATAGCACAGCGTGCATTCATGACAACTAAATGTATCTACCTTTAATTTTCAAAATGTTACATTAACAAGAATATACTCCCTTGCTTCTGACTTCTAATGGCTCTTTGAAAATGCCTTTGCAAGATACATGTGAACGAGAGGAGTGTGACTAGGAATACTCGGTGTATAAAATAGAGAATGTAGAAATGAATGGCGCTTATTAAAATCAACTTGAAATACTGTGGTCTACTGGTTAAAAAAGTAAACAAGCATATTTGTATCATCATAACTGGATATTGAAGGATGATGTGGACAGCTGGAAGCAGTAAGCTAAATACAAGCAAAATAACCATGTCCTGTTTGGTTTTTTGTTCTTTGTTTACTTTTCCTGTAGGTTATCCACCCTCCCAAAATGATGTTGAAGTGGCAGAAGACTGCTTTCAAGTGAGTATTTAATTCTTTTTTATTAATTGTGCAGTGATTTTTTTTTTTTAAGAAATCCATTGAACAATTTTTGTCTTCAGTAATAAGAATAAGCAAAGTAAGAGCAAAAGCAAATTTTGGTTTAATGAAATGTGTTCCAGAACAGTTTTCCAGAAGATTTACTATATTGTATAGTTAGAGTTGAAAAGATGCTGAAGTAGCAGTTAAAAGAATCTCGTCCAAACCAGAGAAGTTCAGATAGTTTTTAAAAAAACACACTGAAGATAAAGGAGTCGCCTGTTGAGATTCAAATTTGTATTGACCTTCATTTACGCCGCTCAATTTCTGTAGGTCATAATGGCATAAGAGGTAAAAACTTATCTCCTGCTGTGCTTCATGTTTATAATGCTTTACACAAATGCCACATCAAGTACTGTAACACTGATGTGTAGCACTGACTGGTAATATCCAAGAATCCCATGTAATTAACAAGCCAATATAAACAAATATTATGGATACATATATAGAGTAAATAGCTGTAATATAATGGAGTGAAAACCTACTCATGTCTGTATGTGCTTGTAATATCTTCCTCCCTGTTTACAGTTTCAGGGTAAGTCTTGGTTTTAGGTCACATACATGTTAAGCTTTCAGAGTTCAGATACTTAAATTAATACGAAGCCGATATAGAAACAAGTTGACTCATGAGTCTTACTGCCCATTGAGAAAACTGATAGTATTCCTAAGTGGTTTCTTGAGGGAAGGAGTTTTGCTGTTTATGCAATATTAAGTTTTTTATCAGTGTCGATAGATGCAGCATAGAACCTCTACAACACAAAATCAAGAAAATTAACAGCCTACTTTGAAGATAGGCGTAAGAATCAAATTACGATAGCAGACCCAGCGTCAAGTATTTACAAAGGCTACTGCAATGCAGTGGCAATGCAGACGAGCCTCCTGATTTCTTTCCATTTTATGGTAGAAGAAATGTCTCTTTGTTTAAGTGTTGGCTGTGCAACCACCTGTTGTTCTTTATTTGCAGTGCTTTATTTTAAGGCACTTTAAAGTAAAATTTCCATAAATATAAGATATTTTGGATTTAAAATAGGAATGAGATTTTGACAGCGTGGAGGAAATGTGTGCCAAAGTTAATGCAATCCTTAATCAGCTTTTAAAAGACTCGTTTAAATGTGCTTTGTTGCAAGGATTAATAATTGAGTAATTTCTACAAGCCTAATGAGATTAGAGGAAACTAATTACCTCGTGATTACGTTGCCTAGTTATTTCATTTCTACATAAGGATGCTAAAATTGACGTAAATATATGTGATTCTTTATATTTACGAAGTTTGTAGTTGGGACAGTGGAGAAAAGTGTATTTACATCATCTTCTATATATATGTAAATACAGATGTATTTAGATGTGAAAATAGATTATACAGATTTACTTTATATGTATATATATTAAAAAAAATGTATTTTAAAACACTCATATATATAACTTAAGGTACAAACAGTCCTGTTTGATGCAAGCTGCTGCTAGAGTTATCTATTACATTTCAGACAGGAAAATATAGTTCATGACTTCACCATAAAGCACATCACTAAATTGTGGGTTTGTGCTGTGGATAGATGGCAAGAGTCACCTGTTTTCTAGAGGCAAAAAAAGCTAGCCGGTCTCTCACACCACATCTCTGCATACTAAAGGAAAATAAATGCAACTAGAGTTGCCTATGGATGACAGTATCAGAAGTCGGGGGGGTGGGAGAAGAAAAACAGGGAAGGCTGACCTCACCTGATTCAGCAATGCTTCATCTAAATCAGATTTTTTTTGTGTGTGTGTGGCCTTTCAATACTTAAAGGGGGCCTGTAAGAAAGACACAGACAATCTTTTTAGCAGGGCCTAATGGGATAAGGGGTGATTGTTTTAAACCAGGACGGGGAGCTTTAGACTAGAGGTAAGGAAGAAGTTTTTTACAATGAGGGTGGTAACATGCTGGAACGGGTTGCCCAGAGAGATGGGAGAAGTTCCATCGCTGCAAACATTCAAGGTTGGGTTGGACCTGGCTCTGAGCAACCTGATCTAGTTGAAGTTGTCCCCACTCGTTGCAGGGAGGTTGGACTAGATGGCCTTTAAAGGTTCCTTCCAACCCAAACTATTCTATGATTCTTGGATTATGTATCAGTAACGAAGCCGTAATTGCAGGGTTACAAATGCCAGCGCAGAAAGGCTTACAGCATCTCAGAGACAGCAGGTCTAGTCTTTAGGAATATCTTGGAAATGCCAATTGGTGTCCATTCACCTCCAGATGATTAATTCCTTCCCCCTTCCAAGGTTGATACTGTTGTAAGTGAAACTTGAGACCCTGGGGCTTTTTTGACTTGAAAGATTAAGACCATTTTGTTTAAAGACTGTTCAAATACATAATGTATTGACTTGTCTCCTGTTCTTCCCACCCCACTACAGTTTAAAAGACCTAATGATTTATTTCTTTTCCTGTTTCTTCTGTAAGCTGGTTTCCCAAGTGTCTAATAGTATTTCTGAGTATATTTTGGGAGTATATCTATGGAGGGATATTTTATAGGGTGGATAGAATGTTAAAGAGCAAGTTGACGCTTGGGTATGAGGGCAGTGAGATGTTTGTTGTTTCATCAGAACAATCTTCCAGAATTTTAATTTGTAATCTCTAAGGAGTGAAGTACAAGAGATCAAGCAGTGGAGCTTCTCTTCTTAATTAAAAATATTAAGTAGTCGTAGGTTGTTTGTGAAAAAGCAGAGTATCAAAAAGAGAAAAGTGCTATTTCACACCTTTTTTTCATAGCATGTTTGTTAATACACTTACATGTTTGTCTGTACCCTGTAGTAACTATCGTGTATATCAGTGTTCTTTGCTTTCATTTCTTTCCTTGTTAGTGTGGTAGGTAAAATCCCCAGGATGTCATCAAGGTACATTTGAAAATATTAATTTTAATAGATCTTTATCAGTTACATCACCTGCTGTGAAGGTGTTTTGCCTGTGCTGTTCTAGTCATCTTTAGCAGGAATCCTACATTCAGTGCATTTTTGGAATACAGTATGTAGTTTGCACATAAATTTCATTAACATGGACTTTCCAGAATGAAGATGACTAGTGATGAAAAAAACGAACGTGCTTTCTAAGTTATTTTACTGGCTGGTTATATCTGGTGCTACAGAGAGCGAATAAAATGATTCAAATAAGATCAAAACGCACAGCTTTCTGATCCAGTCAGTGGTTAAACCTCAGTGCCTACTTGTAGTGTGTATTATCACGTTTTACAGATGGAGCAAGCAGAAACCGGGGTTGTCCTGAGCTTGTATGTGCAACTCTTAAGTGCAAATCCAAAAATTTAAGTCCTGGCTTGTGCTTTCTGAGCTAGCATTTTGCTTGCTGGATAGTATCTTACATGACTAGATTTTATTTATTTTTTTGCATTCTTTAAATAAAATCTTGCAGGGAAAGAAATTTGTACTGAAGAACAAATTTGTCATTTTAAGAAGATACAGCTTCTTTAAATGTTTCGTTGTTCACAAATAATGTTAAAATCTTAGTATTAAAAAAATCATTTAAGGGTGTTAATATTTGCTTGTAAACTTTGCTTAAATCATTACAATTACTATCAGTTTTTTAATGAACATATTACATGCAAATTGTATCATTAAATAAGCTTTAGTCTTACTAGATTAATTTCAAACAGAAATACTCAAATGAGTTAATGCAGAGCTATCTGACTCTATAATGGATCCTAGGAATGAATGTTTATGGAAATATACACTGGGAATTTGTTTTGGGAGAAGGATTGGATTTTTTGGTATAAAACCAGGCATTTTGATTGCAGTAGACAGCAGCTTGTTTAAGTCAGTTTGCTTGTTTGTTCAAAGGTTGGCTCAGATTCTTTCACTCTACCAAATATAAACTGCTTGCTCTAAAACTTATCAAGCTTAGCCAAAAAAATGTAAAAAACCAGATTTTTATTTTTTTCTCCTTAGAAGTAAATCTAACTAAATGAGATCTAGAGCTCATGCATTTAGCAGTATTTTTATGTGGGTTTTGGATACTGAAATGTGTAAGTCTTCCTTCTGAGAACTGAAAAAATAGAGCAGTTGAGTCTTAATTTCTTTCAGGTTTTGTTGATTCAGCCATACTGGTGTTATTTATAAGCTCCCAACACATTTTAACAGTTTTGAAGTAGTAAGAAATGGAGCACTTGGCTTTTGAATTTCTTACTACTGGCCGAAGAAGACTGTAGACTGATAAATTATAAGCAGGAAAAAAAAAATTGGCTTGTTCTTTCAGAAATAGGTACATTGGGCATTTTGTTAATGTGAAAGGGAAAAGGCCTGCAACTTACGTGAATCGTAAGTGGGTTTGGTGCAAGCAAGGAGGATATAAGTATTTCATGTGCCTCTTTTTAAATACACTACTTAGTAACCCCTTTGTAAATGCACTAGTTAGTGACCAGTCAGTTTATTTTGTCTGGAACAAAAATAACTTGACCTTATGACTTGTAAGGAAATGTGAAATAATTTAGCCTTTGCACTGCATTGCTTTTGTGGAGGAGAAAATGCTACATGATGAAACAGTAAAGACTGGCAGAATTTAGTGGGCTTAATAAACTGGCTGGGAGTTGCTACTAGAACTAAAAGTAATACAAATTTATAGTATCCATTTACAATCTAATAATATATTGTGCTGAAATTATTTGAGTTTATTGAGCTTTATTGTGGAGTAGTATTCAAAAAGAGGAGGAAATACATACTAGATCCATGCCAGTATTTCTTAACAGCCTCTTTATATCTCCACATCTCTCTCTTATTTCCTCAGAGTTATACTTTGTGTTTTAATTTATTCATTTCTTCCTTGGAAGAAACTGTATATATTTGGTTAGAACAGCCTTGGAAGAAGGAGGCATGTCAGATACCGTATTTTTTTAGTTCAAACTGTACAAAACATTCAGAGTGATATAGGTAATATTTCAGTCCATGTCAGAAATGCATACCTCTTATATTACAGAGTTTCTCTGCCAAGTATGAAAATTGTTGCTCCATCAGTCTTGGAAGTATCTAAAGCAGAAGGAAGTTACTCAAATGATTTTGAAATCTGTATGTTTTATTCACAGTTTAAAAAATTAAGGAAAAAACATTTAAGTGCTTCTTGTGTTGTTAGCATCAGACAGCAGATTTTCAGGCCTCATGGGAAGTAAATACAAGAACTGGGATGCAACGGAAATGTGGTCTCTCATCCATCCTTCTGTGTCATCATTAAACTTACTTAGAGCAGAACATTTTTAACAATGTTTGCAGAACAATGTTGAATTCTCTCCCAGACTTGACTCTGGCAAACTGGGAGAAGTAAGGAGAGAAAATTTGAAGAAGAGGAGAAGCTCAGTCTGGTTTTCATTTTCTCTACAGCTGTCATCTGGCTTTGAATTCTGCTGGAGAGCTACAGCTGGAGTCATTTTATTGCTTTACCCAGCATCCTTTTGCCTGCGCGCACAGAAATGTTTTAGTAGTCTTGGAAAAAAAATTCAGGGTATCTCTTAGCAACCATAGGACAGTAATTATTATACCAGCAGCTGGGAGCAAACCAGATTTCCGTTGTGCATTAAAAACTGGCGTAGGTTACTTTACAGATGATACTGAATAACCTGTGCCAGTACTGTACTTTGCAGACTATGGTTAGAGGATATTGAATGTGGGCGGTGTAATTGCTTTGGACAGTAGAAAAGGGGAATGTGTTCATCTGTGTGTGTGTGTGTAATAATCTGTATATTTAATATACCAAACTTAGTTCTTATGGAAAACTTTACATGCTTGCTTTTTATTTAAATGCATTTTCAATACAAGAGCATCTTTGTTTCGAGAGCTTCTCCCTTCAGGTTGTCGGTGTTTCCATTATAAATGTGGATTTTTCAGGTGTTTATGGCCTTGTCGTAAAAAGTCACATTGGAGCAGGAAGTGTTGTCCAAAGAAAGCCTTTCTGATACTAATAAGCCTGGTTTGGCCGCATCTAGACTATGAGTTTAATTAAAAAATCAGGGTTTGGGGTATTCATCTGGCATTTCTGCAGTTCTACATATTGAATAGTTGTAGGCTAAATAACATCATAACTGGCCTGATCGTTTTGCATTTTGCATAAATAGCAGAAGCTGGGCTGCATCTGCTTACCTGTAGAGTCTAGGTTGGAAGGCTGAGTGTTGTGCCTTCCCACCAGCTGTCTCAAGAGTTCTTGCCTTACAAAGGTCAGATGCCTTTCCTCTGCCTCCTGCCACCCCCAAACTTGTCCTGGAAGTCAATTAGCTTGAATTGTGGTGTCTGTGTTGGAATTTTATAAAAAGCGTTCCATTATAATTGCTACATGTAGGACACAAAGGCTTGATTGAAGATCGAGGTTTGTGTTTCCTACAGGAGTGTCTGGCACTGCGGGTTAGCCCTGTGATCGATGATCAGCGCCTGTGTCCTTCATTAGATGGAGCCCTTCTTCACTGCTAGGGGGGAGCGTGTGTCTGTCTGCACGAGCATGTGCAGATGTCCTTTTTGCTCTACAGTATAGATAGATTATTTTTGAATAATAGTAAAAAAAAAAAAAGGTGTGAATCACCTGCAGGGGCAGAAAATAATGCAGGCTGTTGCACATGTCACCCGGGGATAAAGACTGGCTTGTGGGTAGTATTTGTTTTTTCCCTGGGAAGGAAGGAAAGGTAGTTTTTGCAGCTCTCATCCTTCTCTCTAGACCACTCAAATTAGTAATAGCTGAGGGGAAAAGGGGATTTGGTAGTGCTTATCACTGTGGTTTCTGCAAAATGGCTTTTAGCTGTTAAGTGTATTCTGGCTTAAATAGTTACTGCTTGTAAGCATTTGTAACATTACTCAAACCAAAAATAGTTGTAGGCATCTCTTCCTCATTCTGAATGCAGCTCTCCCGTGGTTTGAACCAGTGTTTTGGAAGCTTTTCATGTCATTGGGCAATGTACTTGCAGGAGTGCCTCCTGCTAGGAAGATGTTTGATATTGCACTAATATTTGATGCTTTTTGCTCTTAAAGGAAGCGTATGTCCATGAAATCTAACTCTTGCCAATTGCCTCAGCATTTCTTTTGTAGTCCTTTCCCAACAGTGTTTGACCAGAAAACTTAATTTTTACAGCAGCAGGGTCGATTACATAGTGATATTGTCATGCTCGAGGATCTGAAAAGAGTACTTCTGAAAAGGGTCTTCAGAATTTTTCAGTCAAACTTTAACCTGATTGAGCTGTTGTCTTTCACAGGATGTATGCTCTCTAGTATTAATGAAAGCTGATCATTAATTAATTACCAATTTTAATGTTTTTCCACTCAGTGCTTCTCATTACTACATAAATTCTTAGTGATGTGGGGAATTTCTTTCTCCTGAAGATGATTGCTTTCACTTTATCTACATGTCTTAAAACTTGATACATTAGGCTTTTATGTACGTGAGGTACTAATGTAATCCCAGAATAAGTTCCTTAAGTATTTTGATAAATGAAAACGAATGATTCAGTGTTAGTACTTAACCTGTCAAAACTTCTACTTTATGTCTTCCTCAGTAGTTTTCTGCAGTGTTTTTACTGTTTCTCCCTTAATGTTTTCTTGATAACATACAAATCCTTATAATAAAGCTGGAACATTCTTTTATCCAGAAATTGGGTGATGCCAGAATTTTCTCTGTGCTATCAGATGATGACAGCAAGTTAACTTTACAGCGTCTTTCAATACAAACAAAACTACACTACATTTTTTGGCAGCCCAGTAGGATTTATATCAATATGCTGTACTGTATCCTAAGTATATCCCAGTCAGTTAAGCTTCAAGAATGAGAACTGTTTGTTTTTCTGTTCTTCGTGGAAACTGGATCCTCTCACAAGCCAACATTCCACCCAAACATACTCTTCTTTATTCTGAGTGGCACACGTCCTGCAGATATCTCATTATATGTTGCCACATGGTATCATTTTTTTGTATCAAATTGCCTGATATATATAACCTTAATTTCAAAAAGACACGCATGGTTGTTTAATACACACTTACTGTAATTAAACATTTTAATTGAGCCAGTATATGTTAAAACTGGCTTTCTGTTCCTTTCCAGCTGAACTTGCTTTTAATTTTTTTAGAAGGTCTGACTAGCTTGTGCTTTATTAGTCTCAGAGAATTTTTCTTCCAACTGTGTATTTGTAAACACTGGTAGCCTGGTGAGTAGTTAGAAGAAGCATAATCTTGGAGAACTGACTAATCTCTCCTTCCTTAAAGAAATGCATCAGTCCCAATTTGGCAACTGGGTTACGAAGGTACCTATCTCTGATGCCCAATTGTGTACACTCTGTAGAGGAGAAACTCTTATTTCCTAAGGCTGACTTGCATTAGAGAAAATACTTGCCTACTTATAAGTACGTTGAAAATGTTGTTTTAAAAATACTTGTGTTTATAGATGTCTGCAATACATTATGTAGATTATTAATGCATTTATGTATGAACTTGGTGAGTTTGGTGTTTCTGTATAAATGCAAAATCACTTCAAGGGTGTTCTTATGTATTCCAGACAACTCAAGAAAATACATCGGGTTCATTAATGAAAGATCACCTTTTCCAGCACGAAACTGTAGTAACGAGTGAACCTTACAACGGTGCAAATTTAAGGCCTTCAGCATTTGAGGATTTCAGCACCAGGAGAGCTTGTTTTCCTAGCCAACCTAACCAGGTAAGACTACCAACAAAAGCAGTTCTTACTTTGTTTGTGGCATTAGTGGCACAGCGTGTAGTTTCTGACAAGAAAGCACCTTCATTCTAAGTGTCTGTATGTAATACTATAGACTCACCTTCTTGAAATGATCAATATAAGCTTGGCAGCTGAAATATTGCAGCATTTTTATGGCAGAGGTAAAACTTTGTGAAGGTATTTACCTGTGGTTGTAGTACAGCAGACTACATGAATAAATCACTTCCTTTGAAGTCAGATTTCAGTATTACAGACTTCTGTATCTGCAGCTTTGAAAATTTGTTAAAAATTATTCAGAAAATCCTAATTGACCATGAGCTCAATACCGGATATGGGTACATTAATATTGTTTTGATGAGAAATATTGAAAAGTATCTTTAAAATGGATGTCTTGGACCCATTGCACAGTGGGACACTTTCGCTAAATATTTTTAGTGAAACATTGCTTATGCTTTATAACTGCCTGTTTAAACTAGAATGTTCTATTTTGGTACAGAAAGGAAACCACTATATCAGTTGTGCATGAAAAATATTAAGGTATTGGTAAAATAGACATAAAACAAAAAAAAACACTAATGTGAGGAATGCTGATGTACAGGCATTTTTTAAAAGAGGTCATATTTATTCAACATTCAAATGGAGAGGCAGTGTTACAGCTTTTCCTTTAACAGTATAAATTTTGGGGTTTTTTCTAAGCCATAAAGAACTGACAGGTTTTGTAAACTGTAGGAATAGACTTAATAGTGAGTTGGATAATAATTAGAAGATTTTATGCATAGAAGCAAACACAAGGGAAGCTTTTTAGAATAAGCTTTAATAACAGAAGTCAAAACAGAATGCCAGTTCAAGTAGTTGGGAACATGTCAGTAGGAAATATTTTTGCTCCTTGAAATAAATCTGTTTAATACCCTAGGTCATTCTTGCGAAGAAAGATAGGATTGTATTAAAGTTGTGTATCAGCTGCTTCCTAGCTACTTTACTGAGCAAAAGAAGCAGTGTTATCTGGATGACTAAAGAGCTTGAAATTGTGTTTTTTAATCATTCATACTCTGCAATTATCTCTTTGTGTAAGTCACCTCATATTTTTATTTGTTCCATTCATCAAGTGTTACATATTTTTTGCTCTTCCCATTTACTTGCAAAGAAAAGTTTCTCCGAATAGAATAGATGGGTGATTAAGTTATTGCAGCTAACACTTAACATCTGCAGTAACCAGTGATGTATGTGCTTAGTCTTCATTGAGTTGTAAAGAAAAGTATGGTAGCCTAGAATACCTGTATGTTTTAAGAACATAGATAGAATTGGCTACTGAGAAAATTAGAGTTTAAGCTGTGGTATACTGGATAGTGCCTGCCTGATAGAAATTAAATAGGAATGACAATGCTAAAATTCACTTCTTGAAGACTGAAGGTATGGGAAATTGCATGGAATTTAAGTAGATACTTTTAAAAATATTCTTAATCATATTGTAGCACTACCTGCACCCAACACTCCATGCTTTTTGCATGGGCCTGTGATGCACACATTTAGAATATAGGCAAGTCAACAAAATCTCCCATTCAGTATGGGCACACACCTCACAGTCTCTGCTGAACTCCATGCATGTGGCCGTGTGGCACAGCAGATCTTGAGGTAAATGCCTGTTTTGTTTCAAATTTTTTTTTTGTTTCAATTAACATCTTTAATGTTAATCATTAATCTGCTGAAAGAAAAGCACATTTGTATTGGTAAAGACCTCGCCAGGTTGGTAGTACTGGCAGACCTCGAATGTCTTCATAATTAGAGGTGAGACTGAGCTGTAAAATGAGCTGTTAAGGATAAGAAAGCTATCTCTCCATAAAATTGGGTACAGTCAGATAATCACTGAAGATTGACCATATACATACATACCTTAATTCTTATGTATTTCCCTGGGACTTTTCATGTCTTGGGGCTTGGAACTGATGGAACTGTGTAAATAAGTATAAATAAGTTTGAACAAGTCCCTCAGCTCTTCTGCCTCTGACACACTGATTCATGTTTAACTTAAATTCAGTAGTTTGCAATGGTATCTCCAGCTGCTGGAGTCCTCGTGTTGTGGTGCTACAAGCTAAGCAAAGTCAGATGTATCTGTCTGAGGGGAGACAGTGAAGGCTACAGCATTGGTGTATTAGGTTTGCCTGACCAGATTTTGATGGGGGAGGGGCTGTAGGGGTGGCTGCTGCAAGCAGCTGTAAGAAGTTTGCCCTAAGTCTGACAGAGCCAATGCCAGCCGGCTCCAAAAACGGACCTGCTGCTGGCCAAGGCTGAGCCCATCAGTACTGATAGGATAGGAACACCTCTGTGAAAACATATTTAACCGCAGCCCCATTCCGTGTTCCCCTGTGCCACTCAGGGGAAGGAGGTGGATAAACTGAGATTGATGTTAATCCCAGGAAGAAGGGAGGGATGGGGAGAAGGTGGTTTGTTGGGTTTTTTTCAAGATGTGTTTTTATCTCACTATCCTCTCTGATTTATTCTTTAATAAATTTAACTAACTTCCCCCAAATTGAGTCTGTTTTGCCCAGGACAGTAGATGCAAGTGATCCCTGTCCTTAGCTCAAACCATGGGCCTTTGGTTATATATTCTGCCCCTGTCTAGCAGAGAAGGGGGGTCACAGAGGGCGTGTGGGGGCACCTGGCCACTGGCCAGGGTCAAACTACCACAGGGCAAGTGTCAGTGCCATGGTTTAAGGGGCACCCCGTCAAGTAAGGTGCAGTGCTACTGAGTTCAGTGACGTCCACAAAAATTGCCTGCTTAAGTTCGAGCTGGCTGATTATGTTCATAATTACACCTGAGTCTGGATTGTGTAGTGTTCTTAAGGTTTCATGTGCCTCAAGCTTTCATATAGGTCCAATCAAACACTCACTATGTAAGCGCTTTATAAATATACTTTTCCAGCATTTCCCCATTTTTTTCTTAAAAAAATTCTTAATATCAATTGCATAAAGAATGTAACGCTGCCTCGTTTGTAACGTGTTAGACCTTAAGCATTTTAGTAGGTGTCTGGCTGAGGACTTGGAAAAAAGAAATGAGTTCTGTGTATGTGGTGCATTCTGTCAATCAAATGAAAAGCCTTCAAAGACTGAGGAGAGGTCAGATTTTACAGTTATTAGTATTTGTAGTGATCTTTAATGACTTATTCACTGTCTGGGGAACGGGAGGTTGAGGATGAGTTTTTCTGGTTTGAGGTTTGGTGTGGCTTTTTTCTTTTAAACGATGGGTTTTGCTTAATGTCTTAAATGCGTGCGTAATGTTCTGTGGACAGTGGGGTGGGGATCCTTCATGCCTGTAACATACAGAATTGTAATGTCATTTTTGATGTTTTTTCCCTCAAATTTATGCTGTTAACTGGTCAAAAAATCCAATTGGCTTTAGCTAGTTACTGATGCTAAAACAATAGGTTCTTTAGCACAGAGTTGAGAAGCAATCTGCTTTTCTAAGCAAAGGGGAGGCCTAACTGCTTGCAACAGAGCCTGGGGAGGTATGGAGGAGCAGTGATGTTGGCTGAATAGGATATAACCTTTCTTCACCCTGTATCCTCGAGACCTCATGGAAGTCCAACTATGTGGCTTGGAGCCAAGGGAAAAAAAAAAATCCAACTATTTTTTTTAGCATACTCCAGTTGAAACTCCCAGGGCACAGCAGCTCTAATTACAGTTCTGTACCTAAAATATATCACATAAGGATTATCAGGCAGGGAAGTGATGGTTAGAGCAGGCTATAGATATTCTTACATAATCAGAAGCTGGCATATTTTAAGAAGCTATTCCTTCCTCTTTCCCAGCTGCCTTCCCTCTTCCCTCCTCTGCCTCCTACCCCAAAACCAGGGCATGCAGACTTCAGTGTAGTAGGAGCACAGGCGCACACAAAGTGATACAGAAGTGAGTTTACTTAAAACATCATCTTCACCAGCTTGTTGTTCCATATTACAACAGATTAGCAACGTGTAGTTCAACTGTTGTCCTAGACTATTGCATGGTGACACATTAATTGGCATTAATTTGATCAGTACTAATAAGGTAAATGCTCTCAAAGCAGGAATACTGATGCATACCCAAGTAGTTCTGGAAGAACTTGTATGGTTAGTTGGTTTGGAGTGATTTTTTTTTTTGATTTTTTTTTTTTTATTTTCCCCTCTAATTTTCCTGTGAGGTGGTTTGCAGGCTGTGCACTTGACAGGAGAAAAAGACGGACTTTGACTTAAAGCTCACCTATATTCTGGCCCAAATTATAGTAGCCCTACAGTGTAGGAAATAATTGTCTGCCTGTAAGGCAGGAATACTGGGACATACAGAAACTTCTGCTTTTTTGCTGCACTATCTGCCATTTTCAGGAGCTCCTTCCATACACATGCTATGTTTTTATCCTGTCATAATTTGCAACTTTTCTTGAAAGTCACTTGTAATCGGTAACATTTAGTGATAGTCCGCTATCTTGCGCATAGATCCAAAGTCTGCAGTATTTCAATTCAGACGATTCAAATTTGCCACCTTCAACAACTTTTACGTGCCCCTGTGCCCTTTCATTATAAGGCAGAATAAGCGAAAACTCTATCTTATCTCTCTGCTGTTTGTTTTGTATGTGTTTAGCATGTTCCGTCTTTATTTGCCTTTTGAGGTAAAAGGCCTTGAATTATGGTCAGGTCATGACAAGTTGAAAATTTACAAAGTACTGGGGTGTTTGCCTGCTGATGTCCTAAACTTTAAGTACTTTATATTAGCTAAGGGGAGATGCATTTAAAAGCCACTGTTATTGATTGATCATGCTACTGAATATTACTCCTCATATAGCAAATCCTTGTTTAGAATACAGCTTTGAGAATAAGTAACAAGTATTCAATACTGTTGTTGCAAAAGCAGAGGGCATTGGAAGACTTAGAGCAGGAATAAAGGACAGTTTCTCCCAGATGACTTGAGTAACTCAAAGCGCATGTATTGGGGAGTTAATCCTAAAGCCGTGGATCATCACTGGTGTGAAATCAGGAAACTGATGTAAGGTGTAATAGATCTGTGGACTTAGTTGCCACTGAAAGATAAGAAAACCTGAATACCGAGTATAAGTCAAAGAACAGTATCAAGTTTTATGCAGATACTGAAATATCCAAAGCTTCTATGAGATCCTAAAAGTCAGGAAAGAACGCTGAAGCTTATGGTCCTACTCGTATGCAAAAGGCTCGTTATTGCGAGGAAGCCTGTAAATTGTACTAGTCAGAAAATGAGCTGAAATTTTTGTCTTCAAGGAGCAAAATAAAAAATCCTGGCTTTTAACTTTCTAATCCTAAGTTTTACTTGTAGATGTACATAAATTTGGGACTTTGCTATAGTAAACTTCTCTTGCTTTCTCATTTCAGGTCCCACTGAAGTCAATCAGACACGTTAGTTTTCAGGATGAAGATGAAATAGTTAGAATAAACCCTCGTGACATTTTGATACGTCGTTATGCAGACTACAGGCATCCCGACATGTGGAAGAACGACCTGGAGAGGGATGACGCAGACTCAAATATACCATTTTCTAAATCAGACAGTAAAAAATCTGACTATTTATACCCATGTGGGGATGGAACTAAGTTGAATTCCCTGAAAGACTCAAAGAGTTCTGTGGTATTTAAAACTCAGCCTTCCTCATCAAAATTTAAAAACTCGAAAAGAAGAAAAGAGGATGGTGAGCGTTCCCGCTGTATATACTGCCAGGAGAGGTTTAATCACGAAGATAACGGCAGAGGAAAATGTCAAGATGCACCAGATCCTATTAAAAGATGTATCTACCAAGTTAGTTGCATGCTTTGCGCGGAGAGCATGCTGTATCACTGCATGTCAGACTCTGAAGGAGATTTCTCTGATCCTTGCTCGTGTGACACTAGCGATGACAAGTTCTGCCTGCGCTGGTTAGCGCTGGTGGCACTCTCGTTCATCGCGCCATGTATGTGCTGCTACCTCCCCTTGAGAGCATGCCATCACTGCGGTGAGGTGTGTGGGTGCTGTGGAGGAAAGCATAAAGCTGCGGGATGAATCAGTCTGGTGCCAAGCAGAGCTGAAAAAAAAAAAGAATCTTTGTTCCCAGGAAGCATCTAACTTGGATTTGTGGAAGCTCTTTGGCAAGCTGAAGGGAATCTTCTTTCATGTAAGAGATGCTTGATGTGGAGGAAGCGACAAGACTTGTCAGACCTTGGCATTTTACAAGTGCTAGCCATGCCTAACTATTTCCTTGGAGTGCGTGGCGTGCGTTGCGAGTCGTGAAGGAGATTTTGCGAAGGAAAGCCTATTCTTATTACTGGCTATAAAATGAGTATATAAACTACGATTATACTAAAAGGGATTAACTTTTGCCACTTTGTACATTCACGGTTTAGGTGAGGGGGCTCTTTTAAAAAGGATTAAAACTTACCTGAGGGGAAATCTTAACTAAAAGTGCACTAGTGACAGTTGATTTAAGATTAAGAAAAGTTAATACTCGGCAAATGAGAAATGAAACTGATTTTAAGTGCAACTAAATCACTTATTAATAGTTTTTTGGAAGCGACTTTATGTATAAATAACAAATGTTTATATTTAACTAAATGTGTAAGGTACGAATTATTACATGTTAAACTTTCCTTCCCTCTGATATAGTAGGTATGGACCATATCTACTGTCACATTCCATGGTAGTATTTTAAATATTTAATTAGTTAATTTAGTCGCATTTTTATTCCGGATGGACAAATTGATATTTTCAGTCCTGTTTCCCTTCAGCTACAGTTTGTGTTGAGTTGTATCCATACATTCTGATAATCTAAAAACCTTTAAAATATTAATTATTCTAGTCTTGAGTGACCAATATTTTTTTGTTAAGCACAGATGTAATTGTCTAAAATGTTCTTGTTAGAACATAACATTTATTTTTATATATAAATGACTTTGATTTCAACATAATAGCAAAAAGGAAGTTGTTTCTGTTGCTCAACCAGCAAGTTGTTTTCTTTTGGGGTGTCCTCCAAAAATACTTTATTGCATATTCAGATGTTCATTAAGCAAAAGGTACATTAAGGCAGTTGTAACAAATTGTCATCAGTGTTCTTGTTTATCCTTCTGTTAAACTAGGATCCTGTTCAGCTGTTTATCAAGTACTATGATTAAAACAAAAGATTAATAACAAAAGTGAAATTGTTTTCATTATTTTGAACTGCAACTTTTTCTTACTTGAATGGGCAAGAACAAAATTGCTATGTGTTTTGTTGAAAAACCAACAACAAAAGGACTTAGCTTGAGAAATAAATTACAGCCCAGGCAAAATTGGAGTGAACTTCTTAATTGAGGCAGAGGGGAGGGAGAATGGAAGAGGGAGGGAGGAGGAGAGAGGCAGAAGAGAGAATGTGTGTCTGGCTGGGTCTGCGCGGTGGTACATTACATACTGTATTTGCCCTGGCTTTGTACTTCAGTGTGTTTAACTTTCAGATGAGAATTAACTGATTAACCCACTGAGAATTTTTTAAAATGTTACGTGCTTTGCTCTATCATGAAGTAAGAAACATTTACTTCTCATTGAAGATATGTAAAACACTAAAAACTGTCATAATTCATTAGCAAAGGTGCCTGTTTGATATCCTGGCAGGATTGGGACAACCTGTCCTCAATATACCCTTGTTTTTAAACAAAAAAACCTACTTGATTTCAAAAGATGCACATGACTGACTTCTCTCACTTCCTATGCATTTTTTCAGTGTATTCTGTGTAACTGTTCTTTCTGCATGTATCAGTGCCCTTAATTTTCCTTTGTAGCCCAGAAGTAAAAGGAGCAAATGTATATATAACATTATCTGTCTGTAAAATACTTTTTAAAAGAAAACATTTATATTTATATTAGCTTGAATTGACCACCATGTGTACATAGATCATCTCGAAAGTATTATTTCACATTGAAAAGAAGACAAATATATTGATAACTGTAGAAGTAACTGAAGAGCTTCTAGTTTTATATTAAGAGTTGATTGGATGAATTAAGTCCAAGAATGTGACACGGTAGCAGCAGTCTTGGTTTTTACTGTTTATATATTTGAAAGCTGCTACTCTGGCTGATTTTCATGCTTCACACATTTTCAGCTAAACTTGGTTGCCTAGAATAGACTGTTAACTTCAAAAACAACTTTGATAAAAAAATTGTGATGTTTTATTAGTGAATGAGAGGAATTTAATATTTGTAAGCGCCAGGATCCTAATTCAAGGTGAAGAGAGTTATGAACAACCTAAGAAAAGAACTTGCTGGCTGTACAGGCAAATGCTATAGATTCCTATTGTGTATATACTTCAGAAAGGAATGAGTTTAACAGTTTCCTCTGAGCACTATAGAGCATAGTGAAACTCCCAGTCCTGTACTGTATTTTATATGAAACTATATGCTTTTAATATTTTTACTGAATGTGTACACTAGCTTTTCACCTTGCATTTAACCGCCCTGCTTGCTCAAATGTTTTCACCTTTTGCTTTCCTCTTTGAAGACTCGATTCACCTAGAAAAGGTTACTGAGCTGACGTATGTTCACTTTTTCTTCTCGTGCTGGAAGTGTCAGCCTGCAAGAACGGCACAGATCCGTGGTTATGTAAGGCTTGGTTTGAGTAGGATGCACACGGACTTTTTCTCCTGACGTTGGGGATCTTGCCCACTGTTGCAGCTGGGATGAGTAGTGGGAGGTTGGATGTACGGCAAACCCATTCCAGAGTGGGCTGTTGAATCCGTGCGTGTTTGGTTTTGGCAGCATGTAACATTTGTTCTGTCTATTCGGAAATTTAAGCATTTGGGAAAAGAGGAATTTCTTCCCCAGTCCAAACTCCTCCCCTTGCCCTTAACATCCAAACTGTAGTTTGTCAGGCATGTGGTAGAAGAGGTTTGTGTTGCTTAAAGGGGAGGCCAGAGCTTTGGGAAACCATCACTGAATATTAAGTCCCTCGCTTGCTGAAAGCCTCAGTTACCTGAAAATTAAGTATTTGCACTTGAAAGTGGGGAAAGAAGTTCGATGATAGCAGCACTCGTGCACCATCTACTGGATGGAAAACATTCATCTGCATTGAGGCGCAATATTTGGTTACATAGTAATTTAACTGGCTATTGGTGCACTACTTAAGCTACAAAAATATGCTAAGCCTTACTTACGAATTTACAAAATCATAATTTAGACTCTTCCTGTGATTATCCTACCATACTTCTTAAGTTTTATTATTAATATTGCTTAAAAGTAAAAATGTTTTAGCCGTATTTTTTGTTAGGTTTAAAATAGTTACAATGGCCTATTACACAAGAACATAAAAATCAGGAATGAAATGAAAGTTCTTTTGATTCTGTCACTGGCTTCACAAGGAAGATTTACTGGTTTTTTTTCTTTTTCTCCTTTTTTTTTTCTTTTTTTTTCCTCTCTTGGAGCTTTTTCCCACAGCAAAGTGCTGGAATTTTGATGTTCATGCAGAGGGAATCTGGCCTTTTGGTTTGTGATACGAGTCAAGTTTTGAGCGTGTGCAAGGTCAGTCTGTGTGCTCACACATGCAATTTGGTAGTTGTGAGGGTTATACCTGCAGCCACATGCGAGACTAAAGCAATATTCTGATAATAATCTAGAATTGCTATGGCAACGGTTAGTAAACAGCAGCAAATGATGGCATGAAACTCAGATGTCTTTGCAGAGCTTATGTAAGGGATGTTCCAAACAGTCTTAACTGATGTAGTTTCCTCTAGAGAAAAAAAGGTGTTCTCAAGAATGTCTTAATCCTGCATGTTGGAATATAACATTCCCATTTCAAATGTCTTCTCTTCAGAAGGATTGTTCGTGTGCACCTGGAGGATAATGTTGAACTCCTGTGTAAATAATGGACAAGTCTAATGTAGACTTTAAATCTTTTCAGAGCTTATGGCACAGTATGCAGCCAGTACAGTGATAGATTCATAATAATAAAATGAAGATCAAGTGTGGTGGCTGGCAACAAAATGGTAACTTTAATAAGATGCCTTACAGTACTGTTAGACCAGCAGCTGGGTGGATAAAACTACCATTTCCTTCAGTGCGCTGTTAAATACAAGGAGGGGGTGAGGGGGTTGTTTGGGTTTGGTTTGGTTTTTTTCCTGAAAGCTTCTCTTTCATAATGGCGAAAGCTGTGGTTCATTTAAGAAATCAAAGCTGCTGATGAAGAAGCCTTCAGGTTGAAAGCTGCAGTGTAAGCTGTACATAGTTTTCCTTCTTTCGCTTGGTGCAATTTGCTTTCCACCCTGATGACCTCAAAGTGCCTCATGTGTATATTGTTTCCATTAAACCTCAGCTGCAGTTTCTTTCTACTAAATGATGTATAATTTAGTTAACTCATCCCATAGGTGTTTCCTTTATGAATATGAATATAGCTTGTTTCTTTGAGTATATAATGTAAATATGCCTTCAAGTTTGTAACTGGTTTGTTACAGCATATCCTTGTAAGTTGACATAGCAGATAACCCCATAAAAAAATGTTTCAATGTTTTTTTCCTGTAATTACCTGATTAAAACTATCTTGAAACAACTGACATGTTTTTCCATTCTGTGTTGGGATTACTCACAACAGTGTGTATGAAATTAAATGTTGCAGCTCAAAAACACAATAAAAAGATGTAAATACAGGTAATCATTTTGCCATGGTATTCTGCCTCCTTGTTAAACAAAATGTTAATCAGATCTTTTTATGATTTTAAGGCTGGTCAAACAAATGTTGTATTACCTTCAAGCTTCAACATCTTTCATCGTAAGAATGATTTTTTAAGAGTTGCTATGTTTTAAGCAGAAATGTGCCTGTACCAGCTTGCTTTGTTATCTACAGCAGTGCTTGTCCTTGACACCATGTGATGGAGGTCATGATTCCTTCCTCACGTTTGAGTTCCCACTCAACCCCGCCACAGAAATGTGTCTCTGAATATAATTCTAAGCTTTGTGCAAATTAAAGAATAAGTTACACATCAGAAAAGGAAGGAAAACTGATCAGTCTATGAATTAAAATTAAGATGACTATGTAGAAATCTGTGAGACCATAATTTGAAAGCCCAGTGGTCACGGTTTAGGATGGATTATTCTAAATTGAATTGTATTTGCCTCTAGCTTTTGCAAATGCGCTCTTATTGGTTACAACCAATAAAGCAAATCTCGCTGTTCATCTGATCAGATTCTAACTTGAAAAATTTTATTATTGTCAGATGTAATCATTACATGGACTATTAACTGTTAATGCTTGAGCTTTTAACTGGTAGTTAGAAAATGCAGCTCTACCAGAGAAAGGAGTCAGGCAAATGAATTGAGTGACTAACAAGGTGTGAGGGGTTAACAGAGACTATTACGGGGCTATGTGAAGACGAGTGTGAGAGTGACTCGGCATTAAACATGGTTTCATAAAAATTAAAAACCTAGTGTTAGATCTCAGGCAAGTCCTCCCTGAGGTCATGGATAATACACAGTCTTCTGTTTTTGAACAAGAAAAAAAGGATGGGTAAAAAAGAGAGATTTTTTTTCTTTCTTGTTATTTTTTCCCCCTTGTTTTCCCTTTTTTCCTTGTGTTTTTCCATATTTTCTGCCCTTTTTGATGGGTAAGTCAAATTCAGTTCCTGAGGTTTATAAATTAAATCAAAACCAGAAGTTAATCCGTAGACTACAGTATGTAGATCACAGATGTAGTTGCCAATTTCTAAAGAGTGTTCATTAAAATATCCCAATTAGTCCTTGCTAAATAGCAATTAATAGTGGTTTAGATCACTGTTTCTTGAATCTTTTGGCTTAATGTCGTGGGTCACTGTGTGCTGTGGGACCAGAACAGGCAGGGTCTAGTCTGTAGGGTTATATCATTACTTACATCATTTGGGAACACTGAGCTACATAATGAAATTTAATAGCTTGGAAACAGATACAACAAGTGGATGAGAATAAATAATCCCACATTTCATAACTTTAACTTGAGATTGGAGAGCGTGTGTGTGTGTGTGCGCACAATGGGATCTGATGAGTACTGCATAATGCAAATGATGAGCAATACTTGTTTTTACCTGGAAGGAAAAGAAAGAAGTCAGATCTTCAAGAAGTGTGTAGCTCTACGTATCCATGCCCTGACTTGAGAAATTTGGGAACATTTGAGAAAATCAGGACTTTCACCAAGAAT